AAAGGATTTTCCCATAGTCAATAAGGCAGAACTTTCTCGTCGCGCAAACCAAGACTTACTAGAAGTTGCAAAAAAAAAAAAAAAAAAACCGAACGATGCAATATAGACATACAAGACAAAGGAAATGTGCAGTGATGACGAATCGAGTATAATACAAAGGAAAAAGGAAAAATAAATGAGTGTGTTGAGTCTTGGTGCCATGCGAAAAACTCATCAGTAGGAATTCATTAGTATCCAGTAGAATACATAGGCGCTGGGTGCGCCTGAGCTGGGTGCCCCCAATACCCAGCCTGCGTTGATGGCGCCGTTGTCGGGACAAGGAATGGCTGGCTGAAATAGTCCGGCATACACGCGGTAGCGGCACCTGGATGTGACTCGCCTTTGGAAGTCACGTACGCAGCACTGGCGTGGGCACCAGTGGACATCATGGAAGAAGCCATGTCGGGTGAGTAGGATGGGTGCGTCTGTGCAGGACTCCGGGGGCCGTTAGACGGGCAGGACGAGGGAGTGAGAGGAAGGCAGTACTCTGAGCTGCCATCATCCGAGGTGCCGCGCATGGCTGGGACCTTTGGCAGGGTGGTTGGAACCGAGGAGAGTGAGTCGTGATGGTCTGTGGATTGGAAGTCGTGCTGGTCGAATTCAAAGCTGGCTTCAGGGAGGTGGACGTGGGAGACGTGGAGTATTGTATCGGCACCTGGATAATCGTTAGTGTTGAATATAGGAAAGGAGAGTAGCTAGTAACATACCAATATCACCAGCCAAGTAGTGCTCTTCCATCTGTCGAACGTAGTAGATCTCGTCCAGGACCTCCAGGCGCTCAGAAGGCGAAATTTGGCGTCGCACATCTTGACCAGCTTCTTTGAGCTTCTCTGCAGTGATATCGTGGCTGCCCCTCAATTCGCAAAGGATGTGGATAAGAAGACGGACTCGTTCTGTTGTGAAAGTAAATGTTAACAAAAAAATGCCTTCCTTCCTGTTCTAGTTGGACTCACCAGGCTTGGGTAGGTGGTCAGGCTCCTTGTGAGTGACACCTGTCGGCCACCACCTTGGCTTTGTCAACTCCGGGTCAACACGCTGTGATGTTCCTCCAACGTTCTTCCGTCCATTATAAGGGTGGTTGACCTGCTTGCGCGGCTCAACGAGCTTGATCCATGCCTTGGCAATCATTCTGCAGTTGAGCTGCTGGAAGTTGTCGAATGCCTTCTCGTAGTACCGTCGTAGGATGTCGTGGTCTCCCACGCGCAGCGCGGTGCGGCGGATGGTGGGACAAGGGGAGGCTGATGCGGAATCAGAGTCGCGACGTCTCTGGCGCTTGCTGCGTTGCGACTGCCATTCGCAGGGAATGAGACCATCTCGTTTTGTTCGAGAATGGTGGTACCAGGCGAGGGAAGTTGAGCTGGGAAGAATGCTGTCCTGAGCTGGCATCATTGAGTCTGTCATTGTCACAGTTAGTAAGTTACCTCTAATGGAACTGTTCCTTCAGATGTTCACTCACTTGAATAACCCTGCAGGCCATATGGGCCTCCCGTCACGGAGCGCAAAAACCGCCCTCTAACATCCTGGGTGAAAATGGCCTTTTCTGAACCCTCAATCGAAGCGGAAACCTCCACATCAAGCTTTCCATCGCCGTCCATATACAGAATAGCATAATGCGAATATGGGATGTTCAGCATTGTTGGCTGGGTTGTCGCGATCTGCTGCTGCGATAACGGTTATCAGCACCGGTGACCCTGATAGAAGCCGGATTTATTATGCTTACAGATGATCTCGAGGCCATCCCATCATCATACGACAATGACTGGTGAGACATCTCGGGCCCCGTTGTCACGGCGGCATATGCTGGGTTCATGGTGTTTGTTCCGCACAACTTGGTATGAGATGCGCAAGCAGAGTATGAATAAGACAATGAATAAGACCAATATGAAATGAACAGGTGCTGGTTGTGATACAGATAGCTGGTCTTATATCTAAAGTATAGGTCACGAGAGTTCGACACTGGAGGCGATGGTCAGATTTATCTGAGGAAGCAAATGAAAGATATAAGAGAGTGATGACCCGAAGGAATGGAACCGGAGGAGCACCCGTCATATATCAGATGCTGGCCAAGAGAAAAAAAGAAAGCTGCATAATCTGTTCAGGGGATCAAGGGAAAAAAAAAAAAAGAAAAGTACGGTCCAGCGAGTCGTCAGGGAACAGAGCTGTTCTGACACTTGCACACCCACATGACATGCGAATCCAGTCTTGTGGCTGGTACGGTATGGCTAATGTACGGAAAACAAATACATGCAGGATTGAGGAGCAAAACGCCATCTAGATGGGTCCGCATCTACATTATGCATGAATAGTCATTACTATTACAGGCGTTGGTACTCCTCGTCTTGGGCCGGATTTGCGTCTCCGACCCACGTCGGCCCTCGCAAGGCAGCCTTAGCATAATGACAGAAACCCAATTTTGCCCGCTCATTGCCAGATCAATACGATGACTGGCTAGTCCAACAGGGGAATGTTAGAACGCCGGGACCTCCAGACGACTGCCAGGGACCCCCGCCGGGGAATCCGATTCACGTCCCAGAAGCCCCATATTTGATGGATGAATGATGACAAAAAGTGAGCATCACTCCGTACTCCGTATTTCACACTTCTCAGGTACTGTTTGAGGGTCAGCATGGTAATGGCTAATGCGAAAAAAAAAAAAAAAAGCAATAACAATAAAGCCTGTTAGAATCACTTTGCGCGTTGCGTGGCGTGGAGACAGCGAGAGCGAATCACATCAGCTTGTTAAGAAACAAAAAAAAGCAGAGGAAAATACCTTGCCCCATGTGTTTGACATCCTTGTCGCTTTCTGAGGTCATGCAGGCAAAGTGATGATTACATGTCCAAGAACCGGATGCCCACAGGTTAGAGATGCCCTGATCGGCAGAAGCCCTTGCCCCTCGAGATTAACAGGGACTCCGTAGTGCTCAGCAACGCCTCTCGCTTGGCCATTTCTCTCTCGCCGGAGAAATAGTGTGCCTTGACCGATATACATATTCGTGTGCTACGTGGACACGGCTCGGGGCCTTTAGGCAGCGGAGTATGGCAACAACACGGCTGGAAACTGCAGTCCTAGTCTAAACAGGCGGAAATGAATTGTCTTGATCCGTTCCTGGTGCTGTCCAATCAGTTAAACCATGCATGAAAGAAAGAAAGAACTTTCCATTGCTCTCCACTTCTTCTACGTCGCAAAAGAAAACAATAGAGATCTTTCAAACGGATCTGACTCTAGCTGACTAGCAAGCGACCTGATTTGTCACTCGAGCTGATTAGTGGGGGGTCTTCCGGGTTGGGAGAGTATCAGGACTATACTCGTCAACAACCGCATCTCCTGGATGATGATAGTTCGATGCACGGCGTATCTAGCCTCTCCACACGTACATCTGTTACATCTCTGTTACCGGAAATGGCACTCGATCACTCGTTTGAATACGGGCTATTCCGTACTTTGGTGGGCCGCTTCGGTTTCTAAAAACACAACAGGAAATTGCCTGCGCCAGTAGGATTGACTCCCCTCTCCAGATCGACAAGGGCCTTGGCCTCCTATGATGCTCTTCTTCAACTGATGCGAAATTATGGAGAGGGGATGTGGTCAGTTAACCCCAGGGCCACTGACCGCCGATCCTTTAGTGGTTAGACTCGTCGGGGAAAGACCACCTGGTGGCCTCACTATGATAGTGCCCGTTCTCTTGCCTTCTCTTCTCTTCGCATTCACGACTCACACAAGAGATTCTGGACTCTTGGCCGGCCTTTGGCTGGCTAGCGTACAGCATAACGGCTGTTGCATAGTACCGACACAATAGTCTTGTTCCTTCGAACCCAATGAGGCTATGCGACTATGAGACGGCGGTGGTGACCCCATGCCTCCACCGGCAATGATCATCAACGGAGGATCCATTTGACGTGGATCATCATCTATCGACAGTTGAGCGACAGCGGGCACTAATTCAATTTTGACAGTGCGGTGCCAACAGCCGAAAAGGGACAACGCATACAGAGCACCCGTATATCCACTACCATTTTGGCAGGCTCACCGTTGTCTATTCTGGCGGTGACAATACTGCAGTGCAGGGACTACAGGCCAACTCAGCACTGCACACTAAAGACGTTCATTTCCCGTGGGCGATAGGATGGCGACAGAGTAAAACGCCGCCAAAGAGCTAAAAGGGTAAAAAAGATACATAGACAGTGAGACGCGATGTATCTAATCCCCCTTACCTTTTTGCGGGGGAATTAAAATTTCTTTTTCTCAATTTTGCCTTCGGGATCCTTCCCCTTCGAACCTTCTCCGAATTCCGGTCAAATGAGCTGTCAACTCCAAAAGACCCAGCAACATACGACGCACTTGCAGCACCGATACTTCCCACAGACTTCATGCATGTGGCTTGCATGATTGAATCCGAGTGGCGGAGTATCGGTGGATGGCGATGGTCGACCAAAAACAAAAATATCGAAATAACGGCCCCCAGTTGGCGCGCGCGGAATCATTGGCGCGTTCACATACGCAGCAAGACCCTTGTCCTTAATACGAATTAGTCTGGCGAGAAAAGGGGGAAACAAACGGCATCTCGCGATCTAACTGACGAAGAATCATATATCGGAAACCGTATCGCACAAGTCCGAGGTCATCTGCAGCCATCAAACTCAACTCGCGACAGAATCCACTTTGCAATTGACACTTTGGATATAGAGCATATGTCACTGAGTCCCAGGTGATTGGCCCCTGGAAGTGATGAAGTATCGCTCCAGCCGATGCAGATCCGTTAATTCTGTTTACATTCTGCGGCACAGTGCATTCGTCTGCTACACCGAGTATCTGACCTCTCAACTCGGGGATCACGATCTACCGCTACAGGGTATATGATAATTATGCATCATTATTGAATTTGACCGTGATTAAGGTAATTGTGGTCAGTCTATAGATTCGCCTCTCAGAAACATAGATACGGAATCCTGTACTGCCTCCCTTGGACAATACAAACGGAGAGCGATTTCAAATCAACCTGTTGGCAAAATCCTGGTGCCTCAGGAATTCAATTGGCTCAATTCTTGACAGAAACAGTGATGCATAAAAGCTGTGGATCAAGGAAAGTCCACTCTGGGATCCCAAAATAGCAGCTAGTCCCCGAATGTTGCGCAATGGTCGATGACAGGGCTGACCTTCTTCCTCTATGGATTCAATCGCATTGTGGCCAATTTCGGGCGTCAGCCATAGGCCCACCGGTCCTCCTACTCTTTGGGGTTCTGTGATCTACTTTTACTGCAGAAGACTATCATTTTTCAGTCACGGCTGAAGCATTGGTGGCTGTTTCACTGTAGCTGATGTTACACAGTACTATTTCGCCACTTATTGAGACTGAATCATGCTGATATAGCTAATGACTAACGATGAATAAGATGGCCAGTCGAGAATCCGTTGGCTACTCCGTACTCCATAGGCATCGCTTACTTTGTTAGGAATGCAGTGTCATCCTTCTGCTCAGACTATGGAAGCACATCTCTTTTCCCTTCCAAATCATCGCATAATGTCCAATCAATTCCAATACCACTGTGCTCAGTACATTATTGAATCCGTCAGTCTGGTTCGGTTCCTTCGCACCTGTTCGGTCTAACACGACGTCGTCCTTTTTCCCGGGGTTGAGCGGTCATATCCAGCCACCCAGGTACTTGTACGGATACCTCCTTTTCAAGAAGTACCAACATGTCCCCGGATCCCAAAACATGCATGATTAATTCCATGACAGAACGAACTATTGAATCCAGATTGACATGAACCTGCAGAAGGCATCCTCGTACAATACACTCAGATTCGGTCCAGATCCGAACCCAGATCTTCCTACGAACCAAACCATTCTGCACTCCGTACCAGAGTTTACTGAGACCCAAGAAAAAAGAAACAGGAATAATTTGCAGTAGGCATGTCCTACATACCCCATCCACACCGGAGAATATTTCCACGGAGTAACTGTATGGCTGGATACGATCAACACTACAGCGTACTATAGATTTCTGCATGTTCGTGAGATGCGAGATGCTGCTGATCGAAATGCGGCAAGTTCCCTTCACCGAGCCGTGGTGGAAGGTCTTCCGCATTCCTGACTATATATGAGGGAGATGTACGCTGTGCAGAGGATATGTATGTGTCTGCAGCGGTTGTTTCCGTGGAGGGGGGTATGCCACGTACCGCGTAGATTGTATCTTAGTGTGCTCTGTAACTTAGATAGGCAGGCACTTGTACTTGTGCATGGCAGATGCAGAGAAATATGATTTGTCTGCATTTGCAATTCTTTACCATTACACCAGTGCTGCAGATTCTCACTGATTGAGATGCATTGTACACCGTACTTTGGTCCTTCTTCTCTCAAAGACACTATTCGGTCTGGACTTTCCTGTTTACCCGCGTGCACGTACTGCTATATACACTATTGTATGCACGCATTGTTTGTAATAGGACACATTATTGTCAACATGTTCGTGGGGTTTGGGATCTGGTCATGTCATCACATGAGACAGCTCAGTTCGTTTATGCTGGTATTGAGGCTCTATTGAGGTTGCTGTCAGCGGCTATTCAGCATAGACGTAGCATGAGGCTCAATAATATAGCAGAAAGAAGATATCTCGAATCAATAGCTACAACATGGTATCATCAAAAGAGGCTATCCTAGAAATTACCACGTAGTCTTTCGAATGGCATGGATTGCATTTGTAGACATTTCAATAACAGTGTCCATGAGCTGTGAACAGGGCGTAGTGTGGATTCTTTAACAATATGAGAGTTGGCTTGAGGTAACTTGGCGTTGATTTATAGGGGGTGGG